CAGAACTGTTTTCCTTATTTATTTACACACCAAAAAATCTTAGAAGATTATGTTATCCCCGGAGAAAATCGCTCGATTTGACTGGTTTCTCACAAAGAAATATCAAAAGTTTTTATTTGGAGTTTTTGAAATCCTAAAGTTTATTTCTACAATTGGGAGATGGGTCGCATTAGTTTCTTTATTACTTTTTATAAATTTCATTTGTTATGGATCTCAACCCCACATTCCCCCCCCCTTCTCAGAATTCACTCGTTTTAAAAATGGGCCTGGTCAAAATGGGCTAAATCACAATGGGCCTAGTCACAATGAGCCTAGTTTAAATGGGCCTATTCGAAATGGACCTAGTCACAATGGGCCTAGTCACAATGGCTCTGGTCACAATGGGCCTAGTCACAATGGGTCTAGTCACAGTGGGCTTAGTGACAATGGATATAGTCACAATGGGTCTAGTCACATTGGGCCTACTCACAATTGGCTTAGTCTCAATGGGCCTAGTCACAATTGGTCTATTCACAATGGGCCTAGTCACAATGGGCCTAGTCTCAATGGGCCTAGTCACAATGGACCTAGCACAATGGGCCTAGTCACAATTGGTCTATTCACAATGGGCCTAGTCACAATGGGCCTAGTCTCAATGGGCCTAGTCACAATGGACCTAGCACAATGGGCCTAGTCTCAATGGGCCTGGTCACAATGGGTCTAGTTAAAATGGACCTGTGACAGCATTTAAATCTCTGTAGAAGATGGTAGTTCCATAATGTTAAATACGAGCTAGGGATGAAAAAATAGTTTGTCGTGGCCGGATGTTCCTACTCTCAGGCTTTCAACTTTTCCCTTCATTCAATTTTAAACGTTTTTAAGAATGATGAAAAAAACAAACCGGCAAAATGTACAGAGCAATAAAACGGAAACTAGATACTTGGCCCAATCAAACGGAAACTAGATACTTGGCCCAATCAAACGGAAACTAGATACTTGGCCCAATCAAACGGAAACTAGATACTTGGCCCAATCAAACGGAAACTAGATACTTGGCCCAATCAAACGGAAACTAGACACTTGGCCCAATCAAACGGAAACTAGATACTTGGCCCAATCAAACGGAAACTAGATACTTGGCCCAATCAAACGGAAACTAGATACTTGGCCCATTGTCAAGAGATCATAACTGGTCAACTTTGTCAGGATGTCGATTGTAGATGGAGACTCGTGACGACTGCAACACTCTGTTGAATGCTCGGTCAGGATAAACTGGTATCTAAACAGGAAGTCTTCCGATGAGATAAGCCGTCAGATAAGCCGTCAGATAAGCGGATCATCTCAGCGTGAGACCGATCAAGACCCACAAGTGCTACACTTGTTTGGATCAGGTGTAGAAAATAAAGGTTTTTTTCACAGACGTAAGCGGAAAATCGGCCCACTCGTTCTTCCTCTTCGATAAGTTCAACATGGACAGATTACTCTTTCTTCATCGTTGGCAATTTGTTATTTTTGCTCGTCTTTAACACGTCAATCGTTATTTTGGTTACAAGCAGCTGTGTGTATATTTCAAGCAGCTGTGTGTATATTACAAGCAAATGTGTGTATATTACAAGCAGCTGTGTGTATATTACAAACAGCTGTGTGTGTTACAAACAGCTGTGTGTATGTTAAAAGCAGCTGTGTGTACGTTACAAGCAGCTGTGTGTATGTTACAAGCAGCTGTGTGTATGTTTCAAGCAGCTGTGTGTATGTTACAAGCAGCTATGTGTATGTTACATGCAGCTTTGATTCTTTATCTATCAGTATACCTTCTGTATATCTCTTGTATTTTCATGCCCTGGTTGGATCATCCAAACAAGGGAAACAACTTGTAAAAGTTTTATGGGGGATCAGTTTTTGTCGGATTGTACAACTTTGATGAATTAATTCTATTTCATTTCATTTCATTTCATACAGAAATTAAGTTGTATGAGAAGAAAAAGCCCTTTTCTCATAATTCAGTGAAGGGGTTATAGAACTTTGCGTAGGGCAGAGCCTAGCTTGCCTACGAGTCATCAGTGATTTATTCTGAAAACTAATATCTGCAACGAAAAAAATGAACCCAAAATAAATTCAGCTTTCTTTCCTAACTAGATCAATACACGTAAGCCCAATTATGTTTCATTTATGATAGGTCATTCTTTTCTTAGCACATTTCCTCTAACCAACCATTTTTTGTTATTGCACACAACTTTCGACTATTGTTTTTCTTAAATAATTTTAATTGATTAAATATTGGATTTGTGGGTTAATTTAATTGGTAAAAAATTAAATAACAAAGTTTAAAATATATTTCTAAGCGTTGCTATAAATTGTATTTATTATAAATAGTTTTTAATGGCATAACAACATGTCTGAGTGATTTAATGACGATAATGAAAAACATGTCAATCTCTCTCTGTCTCTCTCTCTCTGTCATTCCTATCTCCCCTTATATCGCTCGCTCTCTGGTGTCTCTCTCTTTCAACCCTGTCTCTCCCGCTCGTTACTCTCTCTCTCTCTCACTCTCTCTCTCTCAGCCCTATGTCCCTTTATCTCGCTCGCTCTCTGTTCTCTCTCTCTCTCTCAGCCCTGTGTCTGTTTGTCGCTCTTTCTCTCTCTGTCTCTCTCTCTCTCTCTCTGTCTCTCTCTCTCTCTCTCTCTCTCTCTCTCTCTCTCTCTCTCTGTATTGCACCCTCCTTCTCGCGCACTGATACGAATGTGAAATAACATCCGCCTTGCATCAACCATCCGTCATGTTAGCTACATCCCCTCTCTCGCCCAGCACTCGATCTACTGCTAGATATTTACAGCCAAATTAATAATAATAATAAGTGGTCTTATATAGCGCGGTACCCCGGCCTAGGGTTGGGCTCACCGCGCTGTACATATATAGCAAAGAGGCATAATCATAATATTAAAATAAAATACATAAATGAAATAAAAACAACATATAAGCAAAACAACACCATAGGTATATTCATCCACCCACACCAGACATTTTTACAAGGAAACCCATGGTTTATAGGAGGAGAATCAGTTCTTCGTTGACTCCCCTCCCCCCCCCCCACCCCAAACCGTATACCTAGGACATGAGTCGGCAACCTTTTTGAAAGAGGAGCTTTTTAAAAAAAATAATTTCATCTTCTAANGAAGGGGTGAATAGACAGAAAGAAGTTCAGTTAGATAGGAAGGGCAGGAATCCGAGAAAAAGTTGTGACAGAGAAGAGACAGCTTGTAGTCAATGCGTGCCTGTATAGGGAGCCAATGTAGTGAGTGAAGTAGTGGAGTGACGTGATCGCGTTTTTTTGCCTTAAGAACAGAGTTTTGAACTTTCTGCAGTTTTTCTATAAAATGTTTCGGTGAACCTGACAGAAGTGAGTTGCAATAGTCAAGACGAGAGAGAACAAGAGCACAGACTAGAGTTTTTGTTGCGCTAACTGTCAGGTAGTGGCGGATGGAGCTGATCTGACGGATGGCGGTGTATGCTGAACGACAAATGTGAGAGATATGTTTATCGAGAGACATGTTGTTAGAAAGAATATAACCAAGATTCCTAGCAGAGGGTGTAAACTGTATGTCGGAGTTACCTACTTGAAATGAGGTGGGAAGATTTGAGGTAGAGGATGATTTGTGATTGTAAATGAGGAGTGCTTCTGTTTTGTCATCATTAAGCTTCAACTTGCTGAGTGTCATCCAAGACTTGACATCATCAATGCATCCCCTAGATTAAATTACAACAAACAGTACGCCTCTACGGTCCGCAACAAGACTCATGCCTCTCATCACATTCGACAGATGATACAAAGTTGTAAAACATGGCTCTAAAATGCACATTAACAAATTGTAATTACATGATGTATAAATAAAATGTATTTCAAATGTCCAATGAAATTACTTTCTTTTTTGTAAATTACTTGGGTCCAAAAACAAAACCCAAAAAAAAAACCCAAAGCCATTGCCGTTTTCTTCAATTGACCACCCTTTGTGCTGGAAGCTCATTGGAAAAATAATCCTAAAATAGAATTGCATACTTCCAAGAGACAGATTTTGATTTGACCTCACAGAAGGCCTCAATGCCACCCATATGAGATCCCTTCACTCTGACGACATTGATTAGTCAATGATTACATTCAGACGAAAGGCTGTAGGGTAAGGTGACCTTTCGCACTGATTTTACCAGGACATTCGTGGGTTGTTGTTTTTTACCTTTGTCCTGGTTTCTCCTGAGTTGAAATCAGTACAGTTTGGGGCAGAAGATTTGTTGTTTTGTTGTTGTTTGTTAATTTACCAAAAACTCAAGTACATCTGATATCCAGGGCATTAATAATAAGTAAAATATTTTTTTCCAAATTGGAATAAAGATACTTTTTTGTTCAAATGAAGCCTCACAGAAAGAATAGCTATCCGCGTAACAGACAGAATAGCTGTCCTTGTCACAGATAAAATAGCTGTCCGCGTCACAGACAGACTAGCTGTCCGCGTCAGACAGACAGACTAGCTGTCCGCGTCACAGTCTGACTAGCCGTCCGTGTCACAAACAAAACAGCTGTCCGCGTCACAAACAAAACAGCTGTCCGCGTCACTGCAAAAATAGCTGTCCGCGTCACAGACAGAATAGCTGCCCGCGTCACAGACAGACTAGCTGTCCGCGACACAGACAGACTAGCTGTCCGCGTCTCAGACAGACTAGCTGTCCGCGTCACAGACAGACTAGCTGTCCGTGCAATCATAAATAGTTGGATTTATTTTGTTTGGTGATTTATTAATTTCTTTTATTTTTTATTTTTATTTTTTTTTTGTAGTTTTTTTGACACCTATGGTTCTTTTGACACCTATGGTTCTTTTGACACCCATGGTTCTTTTGACACCCATGGTTCTTTTGACACCCATGGTTCTTTTGACACCCATGGTTCTTTTGACACCCATGGTTCTTTTGACACCCATGGTTCTTTTGACACCCATGGTTCTTTTGACACCTATGGTTCTTTTGACACCTATGGTTCTTTTGACACCTATGGTTCTTTTGACACCTATGGTTCTTTTGACACCTATGGTTCTTATTAAAAATGCCCGACTTTTACATTATTATTTTTTTTAGGGACCTTACTTTGATTTTGTAAAAAAAAAATGGTCACCTTATTGTAGAGATGATTGTTGACTAGCATTTTAATAGAATTAGTTCGTCAATTGAGCCTACCCCTTCTAATCCACGTAAACAGGGAAACAACTCCCCACTGGAACACTAGGTAAAGATGGCAGCGTGGAAGGGGAGTTAATGTGTTCGGAACGAGTTGTCATATAGAAAAGAAAGAAGATAAAATAGAAATAGATCATATCTCGTACTATACAGAAATTAATCTTTTTTTTTTTACTTGTACTGTACAACAATAGGTCATTTGTAAGGAAGAACACTTGGATTCCATAGGCAATTGAACTAAATCTAAAGCGTACAGAATTTTAAAAATATCCCACTTCTTGTACAGTCCCAGATCTCTTTCCACACCGCACTGAACCAGTTACCAGACAAACATCTGCTTATCTAATCTTATAGAGCAGTATTAGATTTTTTTGTTAAACAATGCATAGGCCTAGATTAAAGCATTCGATTTTTTTATATACTTCGTTATCTTACTAATTCGATGAGTTTTAAATGCGATGGTTTAGTTTGTCTACACACCTACACATTTATTTTTTTACAAATTATTTCAAGTCATTGATGAAACTTTAATCATAAAATGCTTGTCATAAATGATCACAGAGAACTTTTCAGTTGTGTCTTTTTTATTCTCTCTCTCTCGCCTAACCCCGGCTGTGGTTTCAAATCCCATGATCATGACACCTTCCAGTCCCAGTGTATGATTTACCTTCCTCACAGACAGTAACTTTTCTATTTAAAAAAATTGAAATAAACACTAAATTTTAAACATAATGGTTAGTATTAGATTTGTCTCATCATAAAGATAAACAAAGAATTAGACCGTTGAGACATTCATCCTAATATCTCGTCAGTTTAATTTTTCTATCTTCTCAGCCACAAATCCTCAGTCCTTAGTCTGCCTTAGATTCAACCACTAAACGTCTTTTAATGTCACTTCCGGTTTCATTTTTTGAATCAGACAGATATGACCAGTGTTTTGTTTCCAGCAACCTCAACCGCTGGTCGGGGCGCAAAGAAACTATCATACTCGCTGTCAAACTCATCCTCCCCATTGGTCAGCACCGCCCAGTACGGGCAGCCAGCCTGCCCCTTCCTCTTCATGCAGTTTTTCCACTCCGGGTACGACTCCGTCACCATTTTCTTCCTCCTCCCGACCTGAGCAAAGTGCACGTTTTTGATGGTGGCCGGCACCATCCCGTACAGGAACACGTCGTCGATCCAGAAAAACTCGATGCTCTTGCCCACCTCGTACATGGGGCGCACCAGGTCGGGGGTCACGATGACAAAGTAGCCCGCGCAGTACGGGAACGGGTAGCTGGAGTTGGAGAACAGGCCCCTCTCCACCTTCCACTTGCCGGTCCGGCCGACCTTGGCGTGTTCCCAGACCTGGCAGTGGATGGCCTTAGATTTCAAACTGCCGCCTATCCGGTTCCAGTAGCGCGTGAAAAACTTGCGCTCGTCGAAGAAGACGTCGTCGTCCATCTTGATGAGGAGTTTGATGTCCGAGCACGTGCTGCTGACCCACCGGAAGCCCATGACAGCCTAAAATGAGAAGTTAAAATTGCTCTGTGATAAGATGGGAATACTCTTGAAGAGAAGTGGTCAAGTTTTTGTTAATTCTATAAAAAAAAAAATAAAAAAAAATACAAGTCATAATAAGGACGATGTTGGTAGAACAGAAGTTTTAAACTATATACAACAATTGTATTTCTGTTCGTTTCAATATGGTAACACTTGTATGTATATAAAACAATACATTTTTTTACATATAAGAAAAATATATTTAATTTGCATTTAACCCATTATCAAACATGTGTCCTGATTTTTATAGGAGCTAACCATGTGTGTATGTCATGGGTTTATTGCTCTCCTTGTGTGTATGTCATGGGTTTATTGCTATCCATGTGTATGTCATGGGTTTATTGCTCTCCTTGTGTGTATGTCATGGGTTTATTGCTATCCATGTGTGTATGTCATGGGTTCATTGCTCTCCATGTGTGTATGTCATGGTTTCATTGCTATCCATGTGTGTATGTTATGGGTTTATTGCTAACCATGTGTGTATATCATGGGTTCATTGCTATCCATGTGTGTATGTTATGGGTTAATTGCTATCCATGTGTGTATGTTATGGGTTAATTGCTATCCATGTGTGTATGTTATGGGTTCATTGCTCTCCATGTGTGTTTACCATGGGTTAATTGCTATCCATGTGTGTATAGTATGTGTTTATTGCTATCCATGTGTGTATGTCATGGGTTTATTGCTCTCAATGTGTGTTTACCATGGGTTCATTGCTATCCATGTGTGTATAGTATGTGTTTATTGCTATCCATGTGTGTATGTCCTGGTTTATTGCTATACATGTATGTATGTCATGGGTTTATTGCTCTACATGTGTGTATGTCATGGGTTCATTGCTATCCATGTGTGTATCTCATGGGTTTATTGCTCTCCTTGTGTGTATGTCATTGGTTCATTGCTCCCCTTGTGTGTATGTCATGGGTTTATTGCTCTCCTTGTGTGTATGTCATGGGTTTATTGCTCTCCTTGTGTGTATGTTATGGGCTCATTGCTATCCATGTGTGTATGTCATGGGTTTATTGCTCTCCTTGTGTGTATGTCATGGGTTCATTGCTATCCATGTTTGTATGTCATGGGTTTATTGCTATCCATGTGTGTATGTCATGGGTTTATTGCTCTCCTTGTGTGTATGTTATGGGCTCATTGCTATCCATGTGTGTATGTCATGGTTTTATTGCTCTCCTTGTGTGTATGTCATGGGTTCATTGATATCCATGTTTGTATGTCATGGGTTTATTGCTATCCATGTGTTCATGAATGTGTACCTTAAGCGTCAGATTCTGGTACGTGTCCAAGAACGATCCCATCACTGTGTCCCCGTGCTCCATGTTCTCTTTCTCCAGCTTGATACCAAGGTCAGCGTTTTCCACTTGACCGATCAGAAACACCAACTGTCAGAGGGTAACAAAGTCATTCATAGTACGAGAAAGGATCAAAGTCATTCATACACTAGTTAGGAAAGAGTAACAAAGTCATTCATACATTAGCTAGGCGAGAGTAACAAAGTCATTCATACACTAGCTAGGAGAGAGTGAAAAAGTCATTCATACATTAGCTAGGCGAGAGTAACAAAGCCATTCATACACTAGCTATGAGAGAGTAACAAAGTCATTCGTACACTAGCTAGGAGAGAGTAACAAAGTCATTCATACACTAGCTAGGAGAGAGGAACAATGCCATTCATAAAATACCACAAATGACATCCGAATAGCACTGAGTCAAAATGAACCCAGACACGCTGCACCGCAATTCGCACCTGGGTACCATCAGAATCAAGCTATTCGGATGTCATTGGTGGTAGTTTATTTTAGTTAGACTGAAGAAATAAGTTTACAAACATATAGTCCATTCAATTATCTTTCATTTGATACCTCATTTTGTCTTACAAACCAAACAATAATATTTTAAATAGTTTTTTTTAATCCCAACCTCTCACTTCTGCGACAGCCTTTATTTATTGTGGAAGGGGTTTATCCTGAGACGAGTAAAACATTTTGCTATCTCCTATGATTTGTTCACAGCTCACCTTCAACCTGAACGGCTTCGTGTTGTTGTAATTGGCGTAAGTCCGTCTAAACCTGTCCCGTCTTTTGAAATGGTCAGCTGAGGTGTGGACGATGATGAGAGCGTCCAGGTCTGTGGTGTTACTGCACTCATCGGCTGTCCCTATGGAGATCCTGGTGAGATCATCACTGGCTTGCCTGGTTTGAAATCAGAACAAGTGCGCGGTGGTCAAGTTTCGGTCAATGGAAGAGTGGAGTGGGAGGGGGGAGGGTGATATGGAAATGTAGTCTATCTGACTGATTTGGTTTGAAGCTCAAAACGATGATGTCTCTCTATGAATCTTTTTATAAAATTTTCGCTTTTGCTCTTGTGTTTCCGTGTTTGAGGCATAAGTCTTCGGACGGGTAATTGACCCACTTCCCGCAATCCCGTCGAACTGACACCTGGCACACAGACTCTTTGCTGATGACAACACTTTCTGTCAAATCATCATCACCTCAACCCACTAAAGGTCTGTTGTTCAAGGTGAGGGTGAAGATGAAGGAATTATGATGACACTGAGTTCCAGAAATATAATTCTTGATAACTGCGCTAAATGAGATCTTTTTTATAATATCGCAAGTGCGTTTTGTGCGTAATAAATTATTTTGTTTTTCTGAAATACTTAGTGTAATAAATCTGCGGTGTAAAAAGTGGGTGGGACTTTAAACTATTAATAGAGTTCAGGGGCGTGTTAAAAATGCGCGGTTACGAGCCTTTGAAAAAGGGGGGTGGGGTGGGGTGGGGGGACTAATTGAGATTCATATGAAGTGCGTTACTTGAATGCATTTTGTGTCAAATTTTTATCCCCCACCCTCAACCCAAAAATAAGTATATTAACTGAGCTTTTATTTTTGTGTTTCTTTGTTGCAAAATCTTCCGAAGGCTTATGGACCCACTTCCTGTCATCATATTGAGCTGAAACTTGGCACATAGACTCGTCGCCGATGAAAACCAATTATATAAAATTATTCAGGATTCCCCAAGCCGCCCCAACAAACCTCCAAAAATTAGTTTTCCTCTTTTTTTCAGTGGGAAGATGAATGAAGGAAATTTGATGAAATGATTTCGTAACAGCTGTAGTTAGCCATCGCTAAGTCGCAAAAATTGCTTAAAAAAGGTTTACATCAAACATTTTGTTTTTATTAAAATTTTGTTAAGGAAAGGGGAGGTGTACTTAATCTGATTTTATTACAGTAACATTTCAAGGAATTTTTAAAGAGTGGAGAAATATTGCAGTTTTGATTAATTGTTAAAAATTAGTCAATAAACTGTTTGCTGTTGATGTGGAGAATCGATTCCTCGCATGCGTCCATTATGGGGGGGGGGGGTAATAGAGCACAGAGAGCACGAAATAAGTAATATAACGAATGACCAATTCGTAAGTCTAAAACAAAGATGGTCTCATACACTCTGACCTACTACCTAGGATATTTAAACCAAAGATGGTCTCAGACACGCTGACCTACTAACAAAGATGGTCTTATACACACTGAGCTACTAACCTAGGATATTTAAACCAAAGATGGTCTCAGACACCCTGACCTACTAACAAAGATGGACTTATACACGCTGAGCTACTAACCTAGGATATTTAAACCAAAGATGGTCTCAGACACGCTGACCTACTAACCTAGGATCTTTAAACCAAAGATGGTCTCAGACACGCTGACCTACTAACCTGGGATATTTTATCTTCGGCTCATCGTCCGGACATCTGAAGATGATCTTTGGGTGGGCAACCATGTACTCAATCTTTTTCTGCTGCTCCCTGACAACCCTGGCCAGGTCGAGGATGGATGGATTGGTCTCTACCTGGATGACAAACTGGGGCTGGATGGTGTTGTGAATCCACAAGTACATGCCACAGCAGACGATGGCGAAGAAGGCGTGGCTCAGTCGCAGGGAACGTGTCAGGTGATTGCTGTGTGATGGACATGTTAAACTGTGTTAACACGCTGACGACCAAGAGATGTTAAACTATGCTAACACGCTGACAACCAAGAGATGTTTAGCTATGCTAACACGCTGACAACCAAGAGATGTTAAACTATGCTAACACGCTGACAACAAAGAGATGTTAAACTATGCTAACACGCTGACAACCAAGATATGTTAAACTATGCTAACACGCTGACGACCAAGAGATGTTAAACTATGTTAACACGCTTACGACCAAGAGAAGTTAAACTATGTTGACACACTAACAACCGCGATATGTTAAAACCATTAACTGGATTGAGGTCCTGGCAGGCTTAAACTTACAGCAAATACAAAATGTGTTTTTATAAACTGAGATTTGGTAATGGGGTCATTTTATCATTGACGAAGTGAATTGGGTACTTTCAATGCTAAACAAAACACCAGTGTCACAAAACATTAATCGGAGTTTGGAGAAATGGTTATAGATATGTATTGAGATTGCTTGAGAAATTCAGATTGGTCCCCAGTGGCGTAGCTAGGGATTTGGGGGGATCTGGGAGCCCGGGCGCTTGGCCTCTTTAGGGGCCCCCGCATCTTGACATTCGACATTAGTTAATGTAAAAAAAATTTCGGACACGGCTTTGGGGGCCCCTTCAAGTAGGGGCCCGGAGGACTTTCAAATTTGGACCTCCCTCCCCTAGCTACGCCACTGTTGGTCCCCCGTGTATTTTCCGTTTTGTCTACCCCTGGGTAAACACAAATCATGAACACCCAGCAACTGATTCGGAATAGATAAACACAAACAACGACCACCCAGCAACTGTTTCTCAATAGATAAACACAAACAACCACCACCCAACAACTGTTTCTCAATAGATAAACACAAACAATCACCACCCAACAACTGTTTCTGAATAGATAAACACAAACAACCAACAACTGTTTCTGAATAGATAAACACAAACAACCACCACCCAACAACCGGTTCTGAATAGATAAACACAAACAACCACCACCCTACAATCGGTTCTGAATAGATAAACACAAACAACCACCACCCAACAACCGGTTCTGAATAGATAAACACAAACAACCACCACCCTACAACCGGTTCTGAATAGATAAACACAAACAACCACCACCCAACAACCGGTTCTGAATAGATAAACACAAACAACCACCACCCTACAACCGGTTCTGAATAGATAAACACAAACAACCACCACCCAACAACCGGTTCTGAATAGATAAACACAAACAACGACCAACGAACAACTGGTTCAGCTGTTTTGCGAGTTCTGTTTAGGAAACGTACCACTTATTTAACGTTGACTTTCCCGCAGCAAGGTGCACATGTGGGCTTTTTGACCTGCTCAAATTACATTCGTTAGGCACACTGGATTCAGTTATTCAAAGAAAAACGCCTACAGTGTGTGCTTTTGTATGAACAATTCCCACACAAGTCACCGCACAAGCCCCCACACACCAAGTGTGATCGCTGACTGCGCACAAATTAACAATGGTACGTCTTTTTTTTTTTTTTTTTACATGTGCCTTTGTGTCCAGCACATGGCTTGCACCAGCCATTGACACGGAAAACATTGTATACTCCTTTTAAACCGTCATCTAGCCAGATAGACGCATTCAGTCTATCTTGACAGCTATAAGCTACAAGAACACACGGTGACGATGGTGTCAGCTACAAGAACACACGGTGACGATGATGTCAGCTACAAGAACACCAATCTAGGACACCACTTAAAACTAGGTCAATGATTCGATCAAATGTCGAGCGGACTCCAGAGTATCAAATGGAAGAGACGTCTTGCTGCGTGTCATTGAATGCTACAAGACATTGGTGAGATAATTGGTAGGTTGAAGCTTAGTTGATGACTTCTGCTTCTGCTACATTTTGAGGGCACACGATCAATGAAGTGATCATTCTGGCTCCTATATAATCTGCTCAGGTTGATAGTCTCGACTTACTCCGTGAATGGTAGAGACCAGTGTAATCTTTGTGTGCGACTAGTGTAATAGCTGTTTGTCACTAGTGTAATCGTTGTCAGCCACTAGTGTAATCATTGTGTGCCACTGATGTAATCGTTGTGTGCCACTGGTGTAATAGTTGCTTGCCACTAGTGTAATCGCTGTGAGCCACTAGTGTAATAGTTGCTTGCCACTAGTGTAATCGTTGTGAGCCACTAGTGTAATAGTTGCTTGCCACTAGTGTAATCGTTGTGAGCCACTAGTGTAATCGTTGTGAGCCTTTGATGAAATCGTTGTGAGCCACTGATGTAATCGTTGTGAGCCATTGATGTCATCATTGTGGGCCACTAGCGTAATCGTTGTCTACCATTGTTTTAAAATCACGTAATGGCTGTCATATGCTTACAGAAGTCTAATTTTTCTAAGATGGTTCCCTGCAGACCTCACGGTTAAATGAATATGGGTGAGCTGCGCTCTCGGTACAAAAGTGGTTCTCAAACATCCTAATATGCCGCGACCCTTTAATACACTTAATCATGTCATGGTCACACCCAATAATAAGATTATTTCCGTATCTACATCATAAATACGTGTTTTTCAAAGGTCTTAGGCGACCCACAAAGGTGTTGCCACCCACAGGTTGAGAATCGCTGCAGTACAATATATGAGGGACTGCGCCGTGTTAAGTAAATAGTGCTAAAGCTTAAAATGAAAAAAACAGGACGATCATAAGGATGTTTCGGCTAGATGTCTTCGTCAACAGACAAGACAAAACAATAACCAATAAGAAATTGTGCACAAAGTAAAAAGAATTTTGCTACTCATTGTCACAGTAAAAAGAATTTTGCTACTCATTGTCACAGTAAAAAGAATTTTGCTACTCATTGTCACAGTAAAAATAAGCTTCTTATTTCGCAATAAAAAAAAGAACAAATGTTTGCGATATCGACTTTGTTTGAGTGGCACGGTACACTTTCATTATTAATTTATTTCATCAATTCAGTTATCAAACATTACGTTAAATAATTCGTGAAGGAACAAAAACTGAATGGGGCCTTGTGATACTATCTTAGCATCTTATGCTGATAAGTTTTTACCACGCTGTGATATTATTTCATCAACTTATTTTAAATAGTTTCAAATAATCGCGTTGTCAGCTGTTTCTTCAGCATATTCGAATGAGACTGGAATGAGAATGGAATGAGACTGGAATGAGAATGGAATGAGAATGGAATGAGACTGGAATGAGACTGGATGAGACTGGAATGAGACTTTAAAAGAATCACACAAAAACCTGGATCGAAAACTTTTCTACAGTTCCGCGAGTTGTGGCGACCCCCAACCATAAAATTATTTTCGTTGTTACTTCATAGCTGTAGAATATAATATAATCGGAAAACACATTAGGCGACCCCTGGGAAAAGTAGGGTTCGAACCCCAAAAGGGGTTGCGACCTACAGGTTGAGGAGCGCTGCACTGAAACGAAATTCCGGTTAGAGCGACGATGTCTTTAAAATAAAACTTTTTTTTAAAACTATATTTAAAAATGTAAGTTTAAAATGTATCAATAAAAGTAACGTTCCTATGGAGCAGTCTTATCTGGCCATCACAAAGAAAGACGTGTTACCTGTAGATGTAAAACCAAACACCATTGGGTTTTGTTTCTTGTTCACAATCCATGACACGAGATTCACATCCCCCCAACTAAAGACACGGACTGGCCCTGCGGTGATAGACATCACTACCTGGATCAAACCTACCTGGATCAAACCTAACCTGTCCTCAGTCACCGGGGTGAGGACGAAGCGTACATGCCCTATCACTGCCTGACAGTGAACACGGCCGGACTTGTAACACAGTTGTCATTGGTGGTTAGTTCTTTTAAAACACGGGCAATAGGATTTGTTCTACTAACACATTCGTCAATCGGGTTTGTTCTACTAACACAGTAAATAGTGTTTGCTCTACTAACACAGTCAATAGGGTTTGTTGTACTCATACAGTCAATAGGGTTTGTTCTACTCATACAGTCAATAGGGTTTGTTCTACTCATACAGTCAAAAGGGTTTGTTCTACTCATAAAGTCAATAGGGTTTGTTCTACTCATACAGTCAATAGGGTTTGTTCTACTCATACAGTCAATAGGGTTTGTTCTACTCATACAGTCAATAGGGTTTGTTCTACTCATATAGTCAATAGGGTTTGTTCTACTCATGCAGTCAATAGGGTTTGTTCTACTCATGCAGTCAATAGGGTTTGTTCTACTCATGCAGTCAATAGGGTTTGTTCTACTCATACAGTCTATAGGGTTTGTTGTACTCATACAGTCAATAGGGTTTGTTCTAACACAGTAAGTAGGGTTTGTTCTTCTAGCAAAGTCAATAGGGTTTGTTCTACTTACACTTACACAGTCAATAGGGATTTTTCTATTAACACAAACGTTATTAGACATCAACCTTGAACCCCTAGAATCCCACCAACCTACTTACACACTCTCTCACTCACACATTCATACACACATTCTCTAACTCACACATTCATACACACATTCTCTAACTCACACATTCATACACTCATTCTCTCACTCACACATTCATACACTCATTCTCTCACTCACACATGCATACACACATTCTCTCACTCACACATTCATACACACATTCTCTCAATCACACATTCATACACACATTCTCTAACTCACACATTCATACACACATTCTCTCACTCACACATTCATACACACATTCTCTCACTCACACATTCATACACACATTCTCTCACTCACACATTCATACACACATTCTCTCAATCACACATTCATACACACGTTCTCTCACTCACACATTCATACACACATTCTCTCACTCACACATTCATACCCACATTCTCTCACTCACACATTCATACCCACACTCTCTCACTCACACATTCATACACAAATTATCGCACTCACACAGGCAAACACACACTCTCTCACTCACACATTCATACCCCCACTCTCTCACTCACACATTCATAAACACATTCTCTCACTCACTCACTATCTCACTCCCACACACTCTCATTCACGCACTCTCTCACATACTCTCTCTCACACACACACTCTCCCTCACACACACACTCTCACACTCACTCTCCCTCACACACACACTCACTCTCTCTCTACTTTCTGTCACTTTTTATCTACCCTCGCACTCTCACACATCATCTTACTCTCTTTCCCACGTATTCGCTATCTTTCTCCTTCTCTCTCTTACTTCCTCTCTCTCTCTTAATTTCTCTCTCTCTCTCTAATTCCTCTCTCTCTCACTCTATTTTATTCTCTGTCTCCCATTCCCCACTCTCTCTTACTTTCTCCCTCCTTCTCTCTCTCTCTCTTATTTCCTCTTTCTCTCACTCTCTCTCTCTCTCTCTCTCCCCCCTTTCTTTCGCCACACGTAAACATTGACTAAACATTGACTAAACATTGACACAGCCAACCACATGACAGTTACACTTTCTTATCCAACAGGAACTATTTCTTCGGCGGCCAATAACAACAACGTTTTTGTTTTTTTTTTATCCGGCCGATTATCTTTCAAATCGATGGTTCCCAAATAGTTGTAACATTGGATCCCACAGACTATTGTCAAAGTTCATCCATGACCAACAGCCACGTGATGTTCTTACTAGGCCGCATGTGTATGTGTCTTTGCCTACAGTCCGTTGCCTACAGTCCGTTGCCTACAGTCCGTTGCCTACAGTCCGTTGCCTACAGTCCGTTGCCTACAGTCCGTTGCCTACAGTCCGTTGCCTACAGTCCGTTGCCTACAGTCCGTTGCCGGAAATCACTACTTGTAAATCCTGTGTCCACTTTTCCTCTAATTTAAAATCCTCAACATTTTGACAAATGTATACGGATTAAGTAATCTCATTTTTTTTGGTTAAAATCTTCACATATTATTTTCATAATTTCAAAATGATTGTTAAGTGGCAGTGTGAGTTCTAACCACAACTGACGCGAACTTTTGTTGGTTGTCGTTTGTTTTTGTTGTTTTTTCTTGTGTTATCAGGGGGCCAACCCCCTCCCCTCCCCCTCTCCCGGTGGAGGAACGGGTGGGGATAGTCGGGAAGAAAACTTTTCGTTTTAAGAGATGAAGACGAATATCTGCAGAAGACATTTTTACCCATAAGAGCACACCCCACCCTCCACAAATATATCGAAATGGTGGGTGTGTGGTGGGAAGGGTTGGGGGGGGGGGTTAATCCCTAATGTGAACAGGGTTTTCCCGACTTGCGGTGCTCACATTACTCGTCCATTTGTGTGTGTTCCAATAGTGTTAATTTTTGAAGGGGTTGCGAGACTAGATCGAACAATTTATATATAGGGGGTGCAGAGCATTGGAGTGGTTGGGGAAACCTTGCTTTGGAACATGATACATCTTAAATCAGGAGATCCTCAAACTACGGCGCGTAGTCCAGATCCGGCATGCCAGCTGTCCTTAACCCGGCCCGCCTGGCAACCGATCCGGTATCCGAGTGGCAGTGACGAAGATAGAACCAGGCTTTGATCACAATAATTATATCATAAGCCAAAAAGCAGGCCCGTACTTCTCATTGAAGTACTGATAAATTTTATGTTGATTAACTTTAATTTTTTTTTGTTAAATTTTGTTTCCACCATCATGCATAGTGCGGAGTGCATGGGAATTTGTTCATATTTCTTCATACTAGAATCTGGTCCTAAAAGTGTCTGAAGGACAAAAGGTACCTCGCGCCCCCCCCCTCCCTTTTTTATTATAAATGTTTGAGGACCCCTGCTTTTCATAGATTTCACACAGTGCTTATTGAACATTCATAACAACATTAACACAGGCACGTGATATGTGCCAGGCACGTGATATGTGCCAGGCACGTGATATGTATCAGGCACGTGATATGTCCCCTTATTAGGGTTTCTCAAGCGGCATTCCTGCAAACCGGTGATTGTTTAGTAAATTGCAGAATGAGATCAGGAGCAATCCTCCATTCCTGCGTAACCCCGGGACAAATTTTAGAATTAAATTTTTTTTTAAATTTTGTAATTTAATCAAGTGGCAGATTGTCCCAAAATGTCGTTATAAGCGAGGACCGGTACAGTCGAGTTAACGGTACAGTCGAGTTAACGGTACAGTCGAGTTAACGGTACAGTCGAGTTAACGGTACAGCCGAGTTAACGGTACAGTCGAGTTAACTGTGATTAATTAGTAAGCTCCGTAGCTGTAGTACACAGGTTCTAACGCTTTTCAAGTTACGGCCACAGTCAAATAGAAGCAAAATGCCTTACCACGAAATACTGGGCGGGGGGGGGGCGGGGGGGTTTGAGAGGGGGGGGGCTATTAAATAAAGTAAATCCATGGAGGTGAAAACGTTAAAACTGAGTTTTTCAGTGAAACGTATTGACATATCTTGGTCAATGAAATATTTAATGGTACAACCTCAAACTTTATGACATCAATTAAACCAAGGTAACTGCTTAAAGATCCCGACTTCTCTAGGTGTGCCCAAGTGTCATGGGCTGGGAACCTGTGCTCCGGTAACTTAATAATACCAGGCCGTACATGTGATAAAATGACCTTTATATTTGTGTGAGGTTTTTTGTAAACTTCCTAAATAAATCAATTTTTATTTTTTATTTTTATTTTATTTTTTTTTTGAATTCTTTTAACTCGCAACAAGCCTCTTGTTACAAGTTGTTAGAAGAAACATTTTCTTGTAAATATTTTCGTGACGGATTCGAAATTAGAATTCTGCGAAGGTTGCAAAACTGAAATGAAGTGTAAAGATCTTCTTTTTTTTTCTACAGGCGGTAATAACCGCCTCTTGCTTCACAATCATAACATTAACTAGTTATCTCTTACTGGGGGCTAAGAATGGGAACATGAATCAACTAGAAGTGACCAGCCTCTCAACAAACCTTCACATGGGCATTGCATTGATTAAAAGATCGGAAAATATCATACAATCCTCGGTGTTGATACCCACTCTTGATTTTTTTCATTGAGTATCTAGTAACATTTTATTTCAAATTAATTTCATCCCCGGATTCCGAAATGAGTATCAGCTTTGTCCCGTTTTCCCATCAGCTTTGTCCCGTTTTCCCATCAGCTTTGTCCCGTTTTCCAATCAGCTTTGTCCCGTTTACCCATCAGCTTTGTCCCGTTTTCCCATCAGCTTTGTCCCGTTTTCCCATCAGCTTTGTCCCGTTTTCCCATCAGCTCTGTCCCGTTTTCCCATCAGCTTTGTCCCGTTTTCCCATCAGCTTTGTCCCGTTTTCCCATTAGCTTTGTCCCGTTTTCCCATCAGCTTTGTCCCGTTTTCCCATCAGCTTTGTCCCGTTTTCCCGTGATGAGCCACGCCCCCCCCCGGGAAAATGAGAAACCCCAGGGGGCAAGTCAGATGGAAAAAAGGGCTATAGCTGACTTTTATTTTATACAGTGATTTTGCCAATAATGATAAATCTTGTCAATAAGTCGCAGCAATAAGTCGAAGCAATAAGTCGAAGCAATAATTCGTAGCAATAAGGCATATCAAAAAGTCATATCAATAAGTCATATCACTAAGTCATAGCAGTAAGTCATATCAACAAGTCGTAGCAATAAGTCATTTCAATAACTCATGGCAATAAGCCATAGCAATAAGCCATAGCAATAAGCCATTGCAATAAGTCATGAGATTAATAAGACACGAAC